AGATGGAGACATTCTTTCATTGTTAAAGGAATCTTGGCCTTTCAAAGATGGAGATATTTTGATTTATCTTGGATTTATTTTCAAAAGAAGAAAAGGGGAGACAAAAACATTGGAAGAGTATCTTTGTCTCTTCTTTTTTTTTTTTTTCCCTTTGAAGAAAATGGGAGACAAAAATATTGGATGGGGATCTTTGATTTTTGTTTTCAAAAGAAGAAAATGGGAGATAAAAACATTGGAAGGGATCTTTGATTTTCTTTTGGATTTTCAAAAGAAGAAAAGAGGAGACAAAAACATTGGAAGGGGATCTTCATTTTTTCTATATATTCTCTTCATTCTAATGAAGAGGAGAGGTGGTTAATTTTTGAGAAAAGAGGGGATTTTCTTAAGAAAGAAAGGAGACTGTTTTCTTTTTTGAAGAGAAGATAAAAAATGAAAAACAAAAAATTAAAAAAATTAAAAAACTCCATTGAAGAAACAAAACAATTTGAGAGAAAGATAAGAGACGAAAAACTCCATTGAAACAAAGAAATTTGAGGGAAGAGACACCATCCAAATTTTATTATAGTTACAACTTGAAACTTCTTATTGAGATTTCAAAGCATACTCCATAGCCGTGAAGGTGTTATGAAAAAAGTTTGGTATTCATAAAATTCATTATTTTCTCCAAGGGTGAATTTTTGCACTTTTCTCATTTATTTTTTTTTCTATTTCTCTTGTCTTTAAATATATAATACAACATGTAGAAATGGATGGCTAAGCCGCCAGATATTTTCTCTCTTGCATTTGCTTTATTATTTTAAATATGTGATTTAAATGGTTGGCTAAGCCACCTAATGTAGTTTCTTTATTTTGATTTTTGTTTCATATTTTACATATATGATTTAGCTTGTTAAAAAGGGTTGGCTGAGCCACTTATCCTTAGATGTTGTAAATAAATTGGTTCTAGGTTTTGTTAGATTTATCTTGTTGTAATAACCTTAAATCTCCATTTCTTTCTATCTTTTTTTTTTTTTTACTTGCTTTCCATATCTGTAAATAGCATCATATTTTCTTTTTTATCATATCCATGCTTTACATTCTTATTTCATGCATCAAATTCGGCTCATTTGCATCTGTGGGTTTAATCAATTTCTATGTGATTTTGTGCACTATTCCATATCTTGAGATAATATACATGTCATGTATCAGTAGCCAGCATTTTTAAGTTACATTTTTGTGTATGTATTGCATTAGAATTTTGAATTTAGGATCATACATATTTTGTTAACTTTGCTTTGTAGCTTGCCACGAGATGTTAACAAATATTATGTGAGTGTTTATGCTTTAGCATTCCGCTTATGTGTGTTTATTTTACTATGTCTAAGCACCCTGCCATGTAGTTATTTGCTTAAGTGATATATCTCTATGAATGCCAGTTGATGGAGGTTGTGTCGTTTTGTTGACTTTTTTGGCTTTTGAAGGTTAAAAATATAATTTAAGCATGCCAACAAGGATCAATAAGTCCTTACATAAATATTAAATGTCAACCAATTAACAGACGATTGCTTCGAAGTTCTTTTAGCTTCACTAAAGAGGACTTTTACTGGTGGCTTTTTTTAGGGGAAAATTCCGGTGACTAATCACAAAATACAAGGAATAGGGAGAAACAGTGTCGGAAATCAAATTTTATTAAGTAAACGAAAGTTTACAAATGTACCTTCGCACTTTCACATATTCAAAGGAGAATACAACGACAAACTAACTTAGAACTACTCCTAGGAATTTGAAGTGCAGAGTGGGAAAGTAAAAGACTGGAAAATAAAGGACTGGAAATGTTAAAGACAGGAAAATATAAAGTAAAATAAACTGGTTTCTGGGTCTGGGTCTGGGGTCCCTTCACTATCAGCCTTCTCCTCTATTTATAGCCTCTAATGATAACCGTCGAAGCCGCTGATAACTATTGAAGTGGGTGATAACTGTCAAAGTAATCTTCGTGATCACTGGACACGGTTTTAAACAGTTTGCTTCCACAAAATTACTCTTGCGGTTGAGATTCCCTCATGAATTTGAATTTAAATTGTAAGCAACAGTTTGGCCTCGTCACCCTGCACATCTTGACTGATCTAGTGTCTCATAGATCCATCGCCATTGATTCAAGTTGCCTCGTGTCTGTTGATGACTGAAGGCCTTCACTTACTCCCTAAATTACCCCTTATGAACCATGTGTCAGGCTGTGATTGGCTTGTACAAAAATATATGGCCAATTCGTTCAATATGGAAGAATATCAATTTTTATGTTTGTAAACTCAATTTCTTTTGAGTTGTGCATTGTTCAAAACTCTTTAAAAAATACACAAAATCAAACGTTCCAAAATGAATGACACAGTCTATACTTATTTGCTTCATATAGTAAATTTTAGCATTATTAATAATCGAAATATGAACATATAAAATCAATTGTGCCAACAGCTGGTTGAGATATATCCCTCCATACACATGTAGGGAGATACAGCCAATTGTGCCAACAACTAGCATAGCTGTTAACAAAATATCTGAAAAAAGAACATTGATGGTCGGCAGGCCACTAATGTGGCCGGTAGGCCACCAATAATGGCCGACAAGGCACAAGGGTGGCCGGCAGCCCCCCAGAGGAGGCTTGCAGGTCCCAGTGTCTTAAGGTTTGAAGCACTAAGGTTTTGGTCCAAAACAAGGCATAAAATGGACAGGGTTTAAAGGCTCAAAGACAAGGCATTCTGCCAAGGACTTCGGGTACTAAAACGAGCACATGCAGTCATAATCATCGAGTGCACGAGCGATGACATCCAAGTCTTGAGGACGGTCAAAAATGGGGTGTCTACAGTTGCCCCTCTTTAACAAAACTCAGAAGTCATGAAATGACATGAGTGAATGTCAAAGCTCGAAGATGACCCATTTTGACAAGGCCGTAAGATTTGGACAAACAAACAAGATAGAAAACAAATGGTTGTGTCCATGGGCTGGCTACGTATCCATTTGCAAGGAATCAAACCAGCGTAGTTCTGGGGCGATGCAAATGATATGCATGCAAAGCAGTTTGAAGGTTGGACTTAACGCTTCGCAAAGCCGACTATGTTGAAAACTCATGATCATGCGAGATGATGCAATAAGAAATATGCGATAAGCAAGAATGAATACAATAAGCAAGATAACAACACATGAATGAGCAGCTTCAAGCTTAAAACCAACACAGGTTTCCATACAAGAGATAAAACACACTCTAACCACGTCAAAATAAGAGACGAGGAAAGAAAACACCACTCAAGGTTACGTTTCACATATCCTGAGAAACTAAGAAAACTGCTTGGGGTCGTGTTTCACATTTCCCGAGAAACTAAAAACCACCCAAGGTTACGTTTCACGCATCTTGAGCGACAAGGAAGACCACTTGGGCTCGCATTTCACGCGTCCTGAGATACAAGAGAAAAAAAAATGCTCAGGCTCGCGTTTCACGCGTCCTGAGAAACAGAGAAAATTGCTCGGGCTAGCATTTCATGCATATTGAGATACAAGAAAAAAATCGTTCGGGCTCGCATTTCACGTGCCCTGAGATACAAGAAAAAAACCGCTCGGGCTCACGTTTCACACGTCCCAAGAAACAGAGAAGACCACTCGGGCTCGTGTTTCATACATCTCGAGAAACAAAAAAGACCACTCGGCCTCGCGTTTCACACATCCCGAGATACAACACCCCAGGGCCACGCGTCACGCGTCCTGAGATAAAACCACTCGGGCTCGGGCTTCGCACATCCCGAGATAAAACCCGCCCAAGGCCGCGCATCACGCGTCTTGAGATAAACAACCACTCGGGGCCGTGTTTCACACGTCCCGAGATGAAACCCACGCAAGGCCGCGTTTCATGCATCTTGAGATAAACAACTGCTCAGGGTCGTATTTCATATGTCCCGTGGTAAAACCCGCCTTGGGCCGTGTTTCACGCGTCCTGAGAAACAAAAATCGCTTGGGGCCGTGTTTCATACGTCCTGAGGTACAACACGAAAACAAAGAGGAATAAGCGTGCGATAGATGCACAAAATGAGTGGATGCGATAGATGTATAAAATAACTATGTGCGATAGATGCACGAAGTGAATCAAAGTGAGAATGCATGTTCGATGCGAGATAAACAACGGCATGTTCGATGCAAGAATGAAAAGCATATTCTATGCATGAGTGACATGAGCATGTTCAATGCACAATTCAAAAAAGATACAGGGGATACGTGCAACATACGTATATGAGAAATACATATTCGATGTAACAGAAGAAAAAAAAAAGATGGCAAAGATGCTATTTCGATTAAACTAAAAAAAAAAAAACAATACTTGACGCAACCTTCGATTGACCTCTCGGAGCCTTTGCAGCAACAAGATACACCTCGTGCACAACGGCAAGTGGGACACAGTCACGCGCCGGAACGCGATTGTAAGCTTCCAAATCAAGAACCTTTCATATACCACTCAGGAAATAAAACAGCACTAGAAAACTAGAGAGGGCCACTGGCCACTAGAGTGGGTTGCCGGCCACTTGCCAGCCTTAGTGTTGTCGGCCACAAAAGTGGCCTACCGGCCATCAATGGCAGATTGAGGGCTTTTTGGACATTTTGTCGCGGGTCTTTAAGTATAGGGCTTGGGGCCTCATTTCCACACAACTACACATTCGAAATTCCTCCCTCTCTCTCTTTAGGTGCTTTTTCTCTCTAGATCCGGGCTTTCTATGCGTTTTCTAACACCCCACGCGAAGTTTATTCACTAAACCCTCTTTGTTTCCTCTATTTTGAACCGATTGAAATTTGATTTCGGTGTTTTTTCTTGGAGTTTCACCACTTGAGGCTTGTTCCCCTTGAGTTTCTCTCGGGTTTTGTACCTTTTCCCGGGCTTTGACTTTTCTTTTCATTTTCTCTCTCCTAGGGTTGACTTTTTCTGAGTTTGCTATTTTTCCTCCATTTTTCTTCATTTTTCAACCACTTTCTCATCTTCTTTCTAGATGGCGGACGATCTATCCCATGACGAAGCTCCCCTCGAGATTTCATCCCAGTTATCACCTCCGGCAGAGATGGAGGCGGATTACCGCTGGGAGTACGCCCCTTCAATCCGATGGCATACTATCCCCAAACACATGTACTACCACCTGGGGGTATTAGGCATTTCAGAGAGTTCACGCGACGCGTACCGAAGGACCTCTTACTACGGGAGCCAGACTCCCATTTGTCCCATGGCGCCACCAAGATACACACTATATTCTCACGCTTTCTTCACTTTACATTGCATTTCTTTTTTTAACTATATGCCTTGCTTCAACTATATGGTTACACTGCATTTCTTGCCTTATGCTACATTTCTTGCCTTAATCACACTCTTGCACTGTATTTCTCACACTGCCTTTCATCTGCATATTCTTATATCACTGTATATCACTGTTCTGATCACAGGAGGACTCTCACTCCATTAGGGGCTATGGAGCCACAACAACGAGGGATTGGTATCTGGACCTCGCTGCAGGCGTATGTGATATCATCGATGAGGCTGGCTTCGGCCTGTTCTGCACTGGGCTATCACGCCACATCGCGAGCCGACCACTTCTTGGTGCACTGGTGGAGCGATGGTGGGATACCACCAACTCCTTCCACTTCTCTACCGCCGAGGAGATGACGATGACTCCCTATGACTTCTCCATGCTCACGAACGTAGGAGTAGGGGTGATCCGATCCCGTATAACATAGATATGAGCGAGTGAGAGGCTGCCTGGATACAATTACTGGGAGCACATTCATCTCTCTTCAGATTGGCCATAGTCCGATACAGCTAGTTCGCTGAGCACTTCTGCAGAAGAGAGCCACAGACCCTAGAGGAGATTGACCATTATGCCTGAGGCTTTTTGATGTTCCTCATTGGTACCACCTTGTTTGCAAACAAGTGGAACACCGTAGGACTGTATCTACTGAGCGCTCTGGTGACCCTACCTCAGGTTTGGCTCTATGACTGGGGAGGAGCTGGCCTCGCCATACTATATAGCTACATGACCTCGACATCCTGCAGGAGGGGAAACAAGGTTGGAGGTTATTGGCAAGCCTAGAAGGTACGCTTTATATTTCTGCTTTACATTTTCTATCTTTTATTTCTGTGTTTTCCGCTTTGAACTTTCTGTACACTGTATACTACATTCTTTACATCTATACACTGCGCTTTCTGCATTGCACATTCTGCATCCTCTGTATCTATAGACTGTATTTTTGTATTCTGCACTCTGCATTCTCTGTATCTATACTTTTTATTCACTGTACTATACATTCTGCTTTCTGCATTCTGCATTTTGCATTCTCTATATCTATACATTATATACTCACTGTTGCCTTTTCCTTGCAGCTCTAGGTATATGCGTATTTCTCGACCCTGGCTCCGGAGCCGACGGAGGAGATTCGCCCCATTATGTCGTACTCTCATCAGTATAATGGCAAATGCCTATGTAGGACCCAGGAGACCTTCTCATTCTTCTGCCGGTACTTTGACACAGTGACTGAGGAGAAGGTAACCCAAAACTCAGTTATTTTTGCTTTATCAACAACTAACAATTTGTATATTCCCTATTTGGAAATCACCTAGCAGCCTTGGATGACGATTCCGGCTGGGGTAAGGGACCAGTACGCTAGAGCTTGGGGGGCCTCTTGTTTTTAGCTTCTGCTTGAGGGCCTAGTTTGCCGAGCCTAGTTTCTAGCGGTTCATGCGCCAGACTATGGGTTTTCCTGAGCCGGTAGTTCCCATGCCACCCCCAGCATTTATGAGGACTACAGAGAGCCTCTCCTTCAAGGAGATGATCTAGTTCACTATGGGCTTGGACGCTGACTACTTCCTCGAAGAGGGAGACTACTCAACATTCATCTAGACACACCTCATACCTCCCTTGATGAGTGCTCATGCAGGCAGAGCAGCAGGTGTCCTCATAGCAGGTGGGAATCGAGCAACGAGGGCTAGGACTAGAGGGACTCCTCCCGCTGGACAAGCCACTGGTTCGCCAGAGACCCCGACCATGCTAACATGCTGGAGGTCGATCGGGATGGCCTACCAAATTCCGATCGAGCCGGCGGAGGCCAGGCATAGATACGTCAGAGGTCGCGATGTACCTTCGGTATGTACCATATTTTCTCCAGCTTTCCATTTTCTTTCTGATATTTGTTCCTTCTGGATATTGATTCTTCCTAATGCTTTTATAGGCACCCCCGGAGTACATTAAGGAACTGCTCGAGCTACTGGCTTCCTTCGAGGGCATGATACTGAAGAGGGAGGCATTGCTCAGTCTCCATGGCATCCAGGTATTTTCCCCTATTTTCTGCTCGCATTTCAGTATTTTTCACACTGTTGTGCACATCATTCTCACTTAAGCACTGATACTCATATCACGGTATGCATTTCGCTCTTTGTCACATCACATTAATATGCTACACTGACACACTATACTGTATTTGTACTGTATCTGGCTCATTATATTCCACCACTTTCATCATACTACATTCACAATCATACATTGTATCTGATATGCCAATACTGTATCTTTTTAGGTTCAGGTCATACCAAGAGCACCAGCAACGGCGACTGCACCTGCACCATCACCACGTCCTTCAATAGCAAAGGGAAAGGAGAGATGGGCCCCAGCACGCAGCCGAGAGGAGCGTCATGATCGAGGCTGAAGAAGCCTCTCGAAGCCAATGTTAAGTGACGAAGATACTGAGACCAGTGACTCCGGGGAGGTAGTGAGTCTACAGTCTGAGTCCTCTGAGAGTGGAGATGATGATGGCTCGAGATCTGAGAGCGGAGGTGATGACACTGAGGACGGCTCTGGAGCAGAGAGCGGAGACGATGTCGACTCTAGTTCCAGCTCAACGGTAAAGTCAAACAGCGGAGCCAATGGGGATAGTGCCCTAGAGTCTTGTCCTCCGAGGAAGAGGACGAAGAGGGCCTCTTGGGCATGAGGCTACTGGCACTGATTTTTGTACTTTTTTTTTTTGCTTAGTTTCTTTTGGTTGGTAGCATTAGTACATTGTATAGCACCAGATAGGTTTTATTGCTTTAAAACTTGAACTCCTCTTTTATAAAAAGCCACAATAGGAATAAAACCAACGCAGTTTTATAAAAAGTGTTGTTTATTTTTGCATCATGAGCACCATATATGCATGAAATGGACATGGAATCGACTTTGCGAAATTGAGAACTTGATTAAAAATAACGTTCTTACTCGGGTAATGAGCCGACCAACAGCTAAAACAAAATAGTACTTGATAAATAATGCAAAAACAGCTCGATTAAAAAAGTAACAACAACTCGATAAACAAAACAACCACGACTCGATACACAAAATAACAAAAATTCAAATACAAATACAAACAAAGACTAAAACAAAAGGACAAAAGACTCAAAACAAGACCACCCAAAAAAAAAAAAAATGAGGCAAAACACAATCTACCCACATTTTCCAACACACAGGTGGACGGTAGGCTAAAAGAGAGGCTGCCGGCCAGAGGAGAAAGGCTGTCAGCCATGGATGAACTTTGCCAGCCATCAACAGTAGCCTGCCAGCCATCAGCAGTGATGGCCGATAGGCCACCAATGTACAAAACCTCCAAATCGTTGATAGTTGGCTTCCACTCACTGCCTTATCCTCTACAAAAACTTCACCTTCGTCATTTATTCTCCAAAACTCATACTAACTGCTGTTTTTGCCACAAATGGAGCCATTTCTTGCCCAAAACCTCGCGGATTGGATTGCAACTTTGGATGGCTCGAAAAAGGAGAATTTTTGGGCTTCGGCATAAATGCACTTTTTCCGTTAAGTCAGACTCCACTTTGTTTTCCGTTCCTTCATGTCGCGGCTAGACGCTGGAACCCGATTACACACGTCTTGAGCTTTGAGGGACAAGAAATGTGCCCGACAATTGAAGAATTTCAAGCGTTAATGGAATCCCGTCGCGATGAGGAGATCATGCCTCAGTCCCGTTTTGGCCACTCCCAAGCTTTGGGACGGATGTGTGGGCTCACTCTGCACGAGGCTCGATCTCTAGCCCACAACAAAGAGCTAGACATTCCCAGTTTGATTCGTCGATTTTCCAATGCCGGTGACTACGGCGACCATCTTTGGTAGGGTTTTCGGCAACATGCGCTCTGCTTATGTATGCTGGCTCATTTCCTTCTTCCCCCTAGTTTCGGCAGATCTAGCATTCACTTGATTGAAGTAGCCCAAGGTTTTAAAGATGGCAAGAGTTGCATTGGCTTAACATTGGCCGAGACTTTGATGGGCTTAGACGCCTTCCATCAACGAGAGACTACCAGATTTACGGGAAGTCAACTACTTCTTCAGGTAATGTTTTCCACCTTTTCCAACATGTGTTTCTCATATCTCTCGGCACTCATGCTCTATTTTTCTCTAAAAGCCTTTTTCTCACTTTTCTCTCAACATACATTTCTCTATTCTTTAATCTCTCTTTTCTTCTATCCCTCTCCAGGTGTGGCTTATGGATAAACTGAAGGTAGTGGGTTCTTACCCTGAGTACTCAGCTCGAGGTTACTTCTTCCGCCACCAGCTTGTAAATTTCCCGAATGAGAGGTGGTAGTGCCAATGGATGTATAACAGGTCTACTACTAACATAGCCTGGCGTTGCCCCTAGCTTAATCTGACTGAGATGAGTTACAGCATGGCTCGACAGCCTGGTATTCAGCTGATTGGCTTGACACACTGTGTATTTTACTTTCCGTTCCGATTCAGACGTCAGGTTGGGCATGATCAAACCCACCCGAAGGAAGGGGTAGAGTACCCGATTTCATTCCCCATCCAAGGTTCACACTTGGCTAGGTACCTCACTGCTTGGAGGACGAGAGAACTTCTGGCCCCTGCCCCTAGTTTCAGTTACGCCCTTTCTGGCAAGTGTTTGTCTTGGCTTGAGGATGAGACACAAACTGGGCCCACTTTGGCATTAGAAGCTTCCACAAGCCCGAGTGGAGGACGTAGGAGCACCTGACTCGTCTATGCCCCTAGTTTATTGCTTTGACCTTTCTTTTCAAGTTTTTTTTTCCAATGTAATAAAAGCAACTTTGATTTGTATCAGAGAGTTAGAGAACTTTGTATTAAAATCAATGAAATTAGAGTTGTGAGCACTAAAAGTTTTCCTTTTGGTCCAAAAATGGTCTAAGTTGAAAAAGGTAAAATTTGAGCAAAATCAACTTTTATTAAAACTTTCCAAAACCATTTTCAAAAAGGATCACCACTTGACACGCACGAAATCGATCCTTGAGATATATAACCCCGAATCAAAAGGTCACAAATTGCCCCTTGATTAAACACCACTGCTCAGCATTGTAACCAGCTCTTCTCTCATAGTAGAGATCATAACTGAACTCTTAAGTAAAGAACGGATAAAGATGACCTAATCAGACACATGGACAAGACAGTTGAGTTGGAGGTATTTACGGCCGAACTTCAGGATGAAGTTGCCTACGTATCCCGAAGATGGAAATCAGGCCTTGTGCAGTTTGGTTCAAGTTCACTCAAGTATTAACTCTCTCCTTTTACTCTCTAACTTTTGCCAAGGCCGCCCTTTAGAGTTTTCAACCTTGCGAGCTCAGTTTTTCTTTATTTCTAATTTTTCATGCTCTAACTTTTGCCTAGGTCGCCCTTCCGGGTTTTCAGCCTAGCGAGCCTCTCAGGGATAATATTTCTTCAACTTGCCCATGTTGATCGGTTGGGAAAATTCTAGGCCATCCAGGTCTATGAGAATAACAGCTCTAACCGACCAAATAGCTTTGATGATGTAAGGACTAGTCCAATTGGATCAGAACTTGCCCTTTGGGTCATAAATGGGAGCTCGGTTGTCTTTCAGCACCAAATCCCCCTCTTTAAGATTACAGGACTTAACCTTCTTGTTAAAAGCCCAGCAATCCTGCTTTGATAACCCTAAACATGGTACAATGCTTTCAGCCTTCTCTCATCAAACAACATTAGTTCTTCAAACCTGTTCTGTTGCCAATCCGCCTCTGCTATCTGACACTCAGCTATAACTCGTAGCGACAGGACTTCTGTTTCGATTGGCAAAATAGCTTCCATCCCATAGACAAGAGAATAAGGAGTTGCTCCTGTAGACGTTCGGATTGAAGTTCTGCAACCCTAGAGTACAAACGGCAATTTATCTGGCCAATCCTTATAGGTCTCAACCATCTTCTATAGAATATGCTTGATGTTCTTGTTGGCAGTCTCAACAGCTCCGTTGGTTTGCGGCCGTATGTAGATGACTTGTGAAAAACCACATTGTATTTCTCTAACAAGTATATCATTTCTTTCTTGAAATGGGAGCCATTATTTGAAATGATCTCATTTAGGACTCCCTATCGGCAAATGATGTTGTTTCAGATAAATTTAGCCACATGCACTACTTTCAACACTGCGTAGGACTAAGCTTCCACCCATTTTGTAAAGTAGTCAATTGCCACCAAAATGTACTCATGCCCATTCAACCCTTTTGGCGTGACTTCATAGATATAGGCCCTACAGGGTAAATGTTTTTAGGCTAAACTGCCTTGAGGTTTAATGAAATTGCAAGGTTCCCAATGACGTCAATTCCCCAGACTGAGAAAGGCCATGGTGAAGTCATGTTGTACAGCTTTGACAATGCGATGTTCATACGATTAGCATGAATTTGGCACTTGTGGCATCGCTGAACAAAACCAATACAATCCTCCTCCATAGTAGACCAGTAGTAACCTTGCCTGAGAATCTTCCAGGCAAACATTATTTCGTTCATGTGCGCTCCGCACTCTCCCCCATGGATAGCCTCCATTAGGCACATTGACTCTTTTTCTTCGACACACAACTTATGCATTCCCAGATGACCTCTTTTGTACAGTTTACCTCCGCAAATGATAAATTGGACGGCCATCCGCCGTATTGCCCTTTTGTCTTTGGCATTTGCCCCTGGTGGATAAACCTCCTTTTCCAAGAAGTTCCAGATATCATAGTACCAAGGGTTTTGATCCTGAGCTTCATCTGGTGATAAATCTTCATCTTTTCTTCTTTGACTTTCCAGTCTCCGTTTGCTTGAGAAAGAACTAGGTTTAAGTCCCCGATAACATCCAAACTTTTTGCCCCTAGTTCCAAAGTGGCTTCCAAACCAGCGATACGCGCCTCATATTCTACTTCATTATTGGATACCTTGAACCGGAGTGTGAAGGCTAAAGGTATATGGGAATTGTCGGGTGTTATCGGCAACACACCTATCCCATAACCATATTGATTAGACGCTCCATCAAAGTACATTGTCCACGTCTTCTCCTCGACTTACAGAATGGCTTTGTCTGGAAACAGGTATTCTACCACTTCATCCCCTTCTACTGGGTGATCTGCCAGAAACTCCGCTACTGCCCTCCTCTTGACCGACTTGCGGGTAACATACTTGAAATCGAATTCGGAGAGAACAAAAAACCAACGGCTAGCCTACCCATAAGCGCTGGTTTCTCAAAGAGATATTTGATGAAATCTAATCTTGAAACCAGAATTACGGAGTAAGCTAACAAGTAGTGCCTCAACTTCCTAGTAGCCCATACTAAGGCTAAGCAAGTTTTCTCCAATGGAGTGTAGCGGGTCTCATAATCCAGCATTTTCTTGCTCAAATAGTAGATGGCTTTTTCCACCCTATCCTCAGATTCT